ACGCGAGCGTTGTATCCGAACGAGCCGACCTCCCACACCTCCTGAACCTGTGCTCCTTCAGCCTCCTGCATCACCAGAGATTGTAATCAAGCACGCGATCAAAGACGACAGGACTGCCCAAGATATCTCGGAAAGGGGTCCCGAACCATCGGGCCAGGCCCGCGACCCCAATTCTCCGACACGATAATACGTAGACAAGCCCATGAGACAAACTGAAGCGTGGCTTTGTGCACTTTCAAGGCCTCCTCGAGCGACTTGGACACCGTATTCGCAATCATATGGTGTGCCGCTCATGCCTTTGCGAAATAGTCGGCCCAAGCATTGCCGAGCCAATGTTCCAGCTCGATCGGGTCGTCCATCACACTCTCGGAGTCCCGATGTGCTGGTGTCCATTCGAAACGAACTGACCGCCCTTCAACACGATGCTGGGCAGCCTGGCAAATATCTCGCCAGATCCTGGCGTGCTTCGAGCGGCCATGCTGAAGAGAATCTGCCCACGACTGGCCTTCCTCCACGAGCCCCAGGAGATCGGACACGGACAACCCATGGTCAGGACGAAATTCCAAACCCATATCAATAGCATATCTCTCAGCACGGCCGACGGCCTGCACGTAAAAGGGCAGGGGCCCGAAAACAGCGCGGATCGGCAGGAGCGACTGACCGGATCTGGAACACTCGACGCGAGACCTGATCCGTCTGTGAAACTCTCGGAGGAGAAGGAGGAGGAGGAGGAGGAGGAGGAGGAGGAGGAGGAGGAGGAGGAGGAGGAGGAGGAGGGGTCGAGCCTCGGGGAGCCGAAGAGGAGAAAAACATCTGGACCTCGGGAGTCTGGGTGATTACGGTCAACGCTGCGGCACCAGCACCCATCCACAGGAGGCTGGCGGGGGATCACAGGCACGCAGCCCCGCAGTGGGGCCACCACCCTCACGGGTTCCGAAAAATACAGGCCTCGGAAAAAAATAGCGAACACTCATGCCACATTCTTCTGTCAACGCCTCCCCCTACCCCAATGTTCAAGGTTGGCGGTGGGTCTGATGAGTTGCACCTCGGCCGCAGTCTCCCCCGCGCGTGCCAACTTTGAGTTTGGCAAGCATGGGGGGGTGTTCACTAACTGTTACCCGCTATCGTAGCATACACTGCCAAGCCTGCGGCGACAGCGTCGATCCGTTGGACGGTGGCCCCTGGTGAGCACAAAATGCGGCGATCGCTCCAGCGAGTGCACCACTTGTCATCAGGCACCAAGCGTCTTGCTTGCGTGCAGACATGCAGTCACCGCTGCCACCGCTGTGGCGACAGCGCCGGTCGCCCCTGACAACAACGAAAAAACGAAACAAGTCCCTGAAGCGATGAGCCAATCCAAGAACGAGTCTTGCGAGACGCAAAAACCTTTGCGGAGAGAATCTGCAGCCTTCTGAAAGAGGAAGAGGAGGAGCAGCAGCAGCACGGGGAGGAGGCGGATGACGAATAAGGAGAAGAAGGAGAAGAAGGAGGAAAACGAGGAGGAGAAGGAGGAGGTGAGGCGGCCTTCCTTCTCCTGCCCCGTTCTCCTCTGACGACGGGGCGCATGTCGCATTTGATGAGACGCTGTGAAGTGGTGGCTGTTGTGTTCGGTTCGATTCTGGCCCAGTATAGTATACGACGTACTGCTATATTGTGTTATGTTGTGGACGGACCAGCGTAGCGTCGTGACGCCTCTCACGGTTGTTATGACTTCTGATCGGTCGTTGCTGCTCCTGTTTGTTTCTGTGGCCAGCCTAGGCTCAAATACTCTATCACGTTGTGTTCGGTTCTGTTCTGTTCGATGCACATCTGTTTTTTTCAATTCTGCTCTTGGCGGGGCGTCGTGACGTAGTGATGCCTGTTGCGTTTGACGTGTCGTCTGATCGGTCGTTGCCGCGCATACTTTTTCCTGTGGCCATGCGGTGATGCTGCGTTTGACAGTGCGCCCTTAACTTGTCGTTGCTGTATTCAACAGTGTGCAATAATGTTATGCTCGATGAGGTTCTATTTTGCGCGACGGGACGGCGTGATGCTCTGACGCCTGTCCGGTCAGATCCGTCGTCCGATCGGTCATTGCTGCGCCTGTCTGTATCTGTGGCGGGGCTGACTTCGGCGCACACGTCTCGCTTGTTCATGTTATGATACGTCCTACGATGTTATCCAGTTCCTCTTCAAGTTTACGTTTCTTTTCTGTTCAAGTATGCTCTGTTATGCTCACCTCAGTCATTATGCACTTTGATGTGATATGGTCTGCTCTGCTCTGTGGCACCACGTTAGGGCATGGTACGTATGTTCTGTCAGGTTGGGGTATACGATGCTATTATCTATGATGCCGTCTAGGGTATGCTCAATTGCTGAAAGCAGATGCCATGCAGATATAGTCAATCATGCGAGATCTAGACCGTTGACGTAGGGGTAGCAAGAATACACCAATTCTGTTATTGCATGATTCGTACACTGCGCTCGACTCGAAACATTATGCTGATTTGATGATGTTCTATTATGTTGTGCTCTAATCTGTATGTTCTGTTCTCGACGTGCTGGCGTCACGCCGTGACGTCTGTCACGGTGGAGACGATGTCCGATCCTTCGCTGCTGCGTTTGACAATGCGCCCTTAATTTGCCGCTTCTGTATTGAACCGTGCGCAATACTGTTATGCTCGATAAGGTTCCATTCTGCGCGACGGGACAGCGTGACGCTCTGACGCCTGTCACGTCAAATGCGTCGTCCGATCGGTCGTAGCTGCGCCTGTCTGTACCTGTGGTGGGCCTGACCTCGGCGCGCACGTCGAGTGTGATTACTGTTGTACAAATTATTATATTGTGACGAAATGCTTTGTCATGTTATAAAACGGTGCGATTATGTGTTATGTTACGATGTGTTATGCGATTGTGTGAAATGGTATGCTGTGGTCTATTACGCTACGTTGTGGTGCGATCCGTCCTGCGTTTGATGATGTGATTGGTTATGCTATGCCCTGCGTGCTCCATGATGTCATTGCATGCGTTGTTGTGATGTGTCTTGGTATGTCCTGTTCGGACATGTTATAAAATCCGCCGACCCTGTCGGCGTGTGTGGGGTGTCTGTTAGGTCCCGTCGACCGGTAACCTTCTTTCGTCCCCTCCTTCCCACCCTCCTCTCCCGTCGGGGGAGAGACAGAAAGAGAGAGAGAGAGAAAGAACACCCTTCCTCGTTCGGGGAACGGGTTCGCAGCTCAAGGGAATTCCATTCACGTCCTCACTACTTCAAAGGAAAGCCCCTTCCCTTTGTCCCTCCCCAGGCGGGGGGGCGGTCCGGGGGGGAGGGGATCAAATTCGCATCGCCTCTGAGGGTCCTCCTCTCCCACGCCGGTCCTTCTCTGGCGCGCCGGTCCTCCTCGGGTCCTCCTCCCCAGGTGGGGAGGAGTCCCACGGGGGGGAGGGGAGTCAGAGTTAGATACGCATCCGTCCCTGGGGGTCCTCCTACCCCTCCCCTCCCCTCTCCCACGCCAGTCCTCCTCCGGTCGTCCTCCCAAGGGGGGGGGGCCCAGGGGGGAGTCCTTTTCCTTATCCTTTTCATCCTCCTCCTCCTCCTTATCTCCGCCTCCCCCTTTCTCCTCCTCCTCCTCCTCCTCCTCCTCCTCCTCATCGTCCTCCTCCTCCCCCTCCTGGTCGTCGTCGATGTCTTTCAGTGTCGGCGGCATCGGCCGTCAGGCCTTCACAATCGTATGCGCAATTATGTTTCAATGTTGTGATATATGTTGGTATGTGGTGCTATAGTGTGTTGTGCCACGCTCAATCATGTTTTGATGTGTTATGTCATGGAATGGAATGTGATGTGATGCCGTGCTACAGTGTGATATGCCCTCGCATTGTATGACCTGAGATTTGATATGCTATGTCAGGGTATGCTTTGGTATGTTCTGAGGTGTTTTGGTATGGGGAGTGGTGTGATGCTCTGTTCTGTAACATATAATATGCCATAACTTGTTATGTTATTACATGTTACGTGCTGCTATGATGTAGCATCGTATGCCGAGCTCTGTCATGTTATGGTGTGCCAGCTGTGCTTCGACGCCATCTGTCATGTTATAGTGCTGCGATGTTGTGGTATCTTGTAGTTTGATATGCTATGTTATGGTATGTGTGCCTCGATATGTCATACTATGCGTGTTCTGCTGTTGTATAACCCCGCTCTGTCATATTATGACTTGTCGGCGCGAGGCGGGACACTCGGGGACACCTGGGGATCTGGCGGCCGCGGTATGCAAAATGGCGCAAGGCGGACTCTTGTGAAACTCGAGAGCCTGGGGATCTGGCGGCCAGGGCATGCAGAGAGGCACGAGGCGGGATTCTCGGGGATACTCGGGAGCCGGGGATCTGGCGGCTGCGGTATGCAGAGTGGGCGGGTCGGGAGGCCTCTTCTAAAAATCTAACGACCCCAACCTGTCGGGTGGGGAAAACCATCGGTTGGCAACTCGGACTCAACATGTGTAAAACACACTGTTTGCAGTGTAGCCTCTCTCATGCCAGAGCGACATCAAGGGAGAGATGGGAGTAGCGTGCAGATGGTGTACTTGCGGTTTCTGTGTTCTTCCGATGAAGCGCCGAATGCGGCAGCTCCTGTACACTCGTGGAGGAAGAGGAAGGTCAGAGCACGTGGCCTTGGCGAAGGTGTTCTGTTCATCTTGTACACAGAGCCGCACTGGGGAACTAGGGTCTGGGAGGCGGCCTAGTGCTGGCTGACAATGGGCCAAACCGTATGGTGGATGCGAGAAGCGAAAACGAGTCTGAGATCGACCAAAAGTCCATTCTCCGCCCCGCGACGACGAGGAGAAGGACAAGGAGAAGGAGAAGGAGGAGCGGAAGGAGGAAGAGGATGAAGAGGAGGAGAAAAGGAAGAGGAGGAGGAGGAGGAGGAGAAAAACGACCCCCCCTAGCTCGCCGCAGAGCCCCGGGGCCCGCCTGCCGGAGTGGAGGTCGAGGCCCGCCGGGTCCGCGGCGGGGCCCGCGGCTGGGGACTGCGCGGAGGAGGGGGTGCAAGGAACGGCCGGCCAGCCCCCCCCCCCCAAGAGACTCGGCCCCAACATCTGGGAACCAAACGGAGAACCAGTCCTCGGATCGATGCGCGCCCTAATGTCTTGAGCGTGGTGTCCGGGCGGCTGTAAGAGCGAGGGGGGCCCTCGGCTCTCTGGCCTGCCAAGCTGGGAGACGCACAGACATGCACGAAGGAAGTCCAGCCCTCGCCCAGGACAGAGTGTACACATTTGGCTGGGCGTCCCACGCTCGCAGACTCCACCCACAGAGGGGCCAGGACCGAGAGTCGCAGCTCCGGGGGATCGGGGGCTCCCCAAATAGGTCTGGGCATCTTACTGGCAGCCCGCTGCCCGTCCCGACTCGCTCTGTGACGGTCCAGGGGGCCGAGTGAGGGACCTGGGGAAACGAACACGGGACCGCGGGACAGGGATAGGGACAGGGACAGCGGGGCAAGGACAGCTCCGCAGTGAGGGGGTGGCGTGGCTTGCCCCCCCCCCCCCCGAGCCAGGGCCCCGTCAACGGGGACTTCGACACACCCGTTGTGGCGCCCGACGGCTGCGGCCGTGGGTCTATGGGCAGCCTCTGCTCTTCGTCCTCTCCCGCGGGGCCTGGTGAAATCCTGGCCTGCGGCGTCCTGGTCCACGGAGCCCTGGCCCAGGCTCGCCCAGGGCACGCCTGGGAGCACTGCGGAGAGCATCCTGGAGGCCTCGCGCGGCAAGTCGAGACCCAGTGTACGTCGGATTTGCTCCTGGTCATCGCAGCGCGACCGACGACCCATGTCTCACGGGGCGGACCAGTGGGCGTGCCGCGCGAGGCCTCCAGGATTTTCCTCACATGGAGCATGCACTACAAGGAAGGCACGCTGCTTGGGACATCCCTGTCGGGCGCTGGCTGTCTTTCCCCACGGCACGGGCCCTCTCAAGATCCCACGCGCTGGGCCAGGATTGCAGGCCAGGGTGGCATGCGAACCGACAGCTCCAGCTCTCCGCCCCAAGGCGACCTCCGAGACCGCCAGCAGACCCGCAAGAAGCTCCCCAGAGGCCCCAGGAAGCTCGCAAGAGACGCCAACATCAGGACCGAAGAGGCCTCCGATAAGCTCCAATGATACCCCAAACCAGCCTTCAGGAGGCTCCCGAGAGGTATCCCAAGAGCTCCCTACAGGCGCCCAATCGGCCTCCGACCTACGATCAAGGCACAGTGGCAGGGTGGGCCGACGACCACACACACAGACACGTATGTCTGTATTTCCCCAAACAGCTTGCTGAACGGGGTGCTGTTGTGATAGAAGCTAACTCCAGCCGAAAAAAATCAAAGATAACACGTCTTCAGACAAATTTGGTGGTACGGGCCGTTTTAACTCTGAGCTCTGAGCTGCCGCGCAAGAGGTGGTCCAGCCCATTTCGCCTGAGAGTCCTCGCAACTCTGACCTCGGAGATGCCGCGCGCGACGTGGTCCAGCCTGTTCGCGTGAGACATGCTCGCAACTCTGAGCTGATATGCCGTGCGCGAGGTGGGTCAGCCCGTCTCGCCTGAGACATCCTCGCAACTCTGAGGTCTGAGATGCCGTGCGCAAGGTGGTCCAGCCCGTTTCGCACAAGACATTCTCGCAACTCTGAGCTCCCAGATGCCGCGCAAGAGGTGGTCCAGCCTGGGGGCCCAGAAGACCACATGTTACATATCCCCCCTGGGACCCTGGGAGCCCCAGGAGGCCCCAGAGAGCTTCAGGAGGTCACAGGACGCCCAGGACAGGCCCCAGGGGTCCCCAGGAGATTCCCAGGAGGCTCCCAGGAGGCTCCAGGAGGCCCCCTATCAGAACGTGTCAAGTTAATACACATCTGGTGTTGATTCGTTGATTTTTCCTGCTCTTGTGGCCACCCCATTTTGGGGGGCCCCGACGGCCACATGCTACATATCCCACCCTGGGAGCCCCAAGATGCTTCAGGAAGCCCCAGGTGGGGTCCAGGAGGCCACAGGAGGCCCACGAGGAAGCCCCAGGAGGTCCCCAGGAGGCCCCAGGAGGCCCCCGCAACTCGGAGCTCTGAGACGCCGCGCTCGAGGTGGTCCGGCCCGTTTCGCCTGGGACTTCCTCGCAGCACGTTTCGCCCGAGACATCGTCGCAACTCTGGGGTCCGAGATGCCGCGCGCGAGGTGCTCCAGCCCGTTACGCTGGAGACATCCTCGCAACTCTGGGCTCCGAGATGCCGTTCGGGATGAAGAGGAGGTGGAGGAGGAGGAGGAGAAGGAGGAGGAGGAGGAGGAGGAGAAGGCATGTTCTAACATGCCATGCCAGCACGCACTGGACGGGCACGCAATTGACTTTGGAAACCGCAGTGGGTTAAAAGAAACCCTGTTTGGGCATACTGCACTCCGGCTATACTTTTATTTACACAGACATGCATGCATGCATGCATGCATACATGCATATCTACATGTAGCCCTCCGAACCCACCAAGAACCCCCCTTTCTCATGATTAAATATGAGTTTATATATGATTCCTACGATTTTCGGACTCAATTTTGAGGCTCTTTTTGGAAGACTTTTTGGGCTCAAGTTCGGAGCGATGTTCACCCACTGCAACTCCCTCCGTCTCCAACACAACACCCAGTACTCAACAGCCTCCTTCTCCAACACAACACCCGATACTCAACAAGCTCCCTCCCCAAGCTGAACTTGAAAATAACCTTCTACTCAACTCCCTCCGTCTCCAACAAAACACCCAGTACTCAACAGCCTCCTTCTCCAACACAACACCCGATAGTCAACAAGCTCCCTCCCCAAGCTGAACTTGAATATAACCTTCTACTCAACTCCCTCCGTCTCCAACAAAACACCCAGTACTCAACAGCCTCCTTCTCCAACACAACACCCCATACTCAACAGGCTCCCTCCCCAAGCTGAACTTGAAAATAACCTTCTACTCAACTCCCTCCGTCTCCAACAAAACACCCAGTACTCAACAGCCTCCTTCTCCAACACAACACCAGATACTCAACAGGCTCTCTCCCCAAGCTAAACTTGAAAATAACCTTCTACTCAACTCCCTCCGTCTCCAACAAAACACCCAGTACTCACCAGCCTCCTTCTCCAACACAACACCCGATACTCAACAGGCTCCCTCCCCAAGCTGAACTTGAAACTAACATTCTACTCAACACCCTCCGTCTCCAACACAACACCCAGTACTCAACAGCCTCCTTCTCCAACACAACACCCGATACTCAACAGGCTCCCTCCCCAAGCTGAACTTGAAAATAACCTTCTACTCAACACCCTCCGTCTCCACCACACCACCCAGTACTCAACAGCCTCCTTCTCCAACACAACACCCGATACTCAACAGGCTCCCTCCCCAAGCCGAACTTGAAAATAACCTTCTACTCAACTCCCTGCGTCTCCACCACACCACCTAGTACTCAACAGCCTCCTTCTCCAACACAACACCCGATACTCAAAAGGCTCCCTCCCCAAGCTGACCTTGAAAATAACCTTCTACTCAACTCCCTCCGTCTCCAACACAACACCTAGTACTCAACAGCCTCCTTCTCCAACACAACACCCGATACTCAACAGGCTCCCTCCTCAAGCTGAACTTGAAAATAACCTTCTACTCAACTCCCTGCGTCTCCACCACACCACCCAGTACTCAACAGCCTCCTTCTCCAACACAACACCCGATACTCAACAGGCTCCCTCCGTCTCCAACACACACACACAAGTACTCCAGATCCAACCACCACAACACGACGCGACACCCGAAACTCCAACCGCACCCGCCCCCCTTTTTTCTTAGCATCTTCCAAGAGAAAAGGGGGGTTCATGGTGGGTGCTGAGGCCTACATGTATATACAAGACTGCGATTGCGCCTCGCGCCATGCACCGTGGCCCTTCAGGATCGGCGCGCAGGCAGCAAGCGGAGCGCGGAAGGAAGAGAGAGAGAGAGAGAGAGCGAGAGCGAGGACAACAAATACACCAAAAGACGAACGCTCCGTGTTGCCGTCAGCACTTGCGTTGTTACAAATATGGTATACATCACCTGTCCCTCATGTTCCCACTTCATTGTTACTCGTCATTTGCGAACGCGTCCCTGCTACCGTTTTCAAACTTTACTGCGTGGCCTCCTCCTTGAATGGCTATCCGGGAGCCTCGCGAGAGCTTCTTGGGGCTGCTGGTGGCCTGTGAATGACTTTTGAATTTTACATACTGGGAACTTGTTGGAAGCCATGGTACCTTATTACCGTGAATGACGTCGTATGCGACGTAATGCCAAACCATGATTGCGTGGGCGTACAATTTTCCCAGAAAGCAAAGCTACCCCTGTGGCGGTGAATCAGGCATGCAAGACAACTAAACGGCACAACTTCGCAGACGAGTGCGCCAACGCGCACGCACTGCACTGAGTGAGCGAGGACAACGCCGATCGGGCGCTCAACCACACTGTTGTAGCTGCCGCGTGCGGGGCGCTTCCAGGTTTTCTTAGAAGCCCTCCTGGACCGTCCTTGGGCCCTTTGGAACTGTTTTGGGGCAATTGTGGGCTGTCTCGGGGGGCTCTGGCCATCGTGGGGCTCTGCTGGGGCCTTCTTGGGGCTGTCTTGGGGCTTTCTTGGGGGCCTCTTGGGGCCGTCTTGGGCCGTCTCGGGGCTCTCTTGGGACGTCTTGGGGCCATCTTCGGCTGTCGTGTGGCTCTTTGGGGCTGTCTTGGGGCCTTCTTGGGGCTTTGTGGGGGCCTCTGGATCCGTTCTGGGGCGATTCGTGGCGCCTCTTGGGCCTTTCTGGAGCCTTGGAAAACACGAAAGCGAGTATGGCTAAACACGCACGTTTTCCCAATGAGATGGAGCGAATTTGGCTTGTTCGGCGTTATCTTGGGGCCCTTCGGGGCGTCTTGGAGAGTGCCTCTTCAACCATCTTGGAACTACTCGGGGGCCTTTTGGGCGGTATTGGAGGTCTCTCGCACTGTCGTGGAGACATCTGAAAGCGTCTCGGAGCA